CTCCCCCCAGGCAACGACTAGATGCAGAGGCGACCTCCGAGCCCCGGGGAGGCCGAGCGGAATCTGTTGTGCCGGGGTCACCTGGGTCTAGAATCTAGCCCGAACAAAGGGGCCATTTGGTGGGGGTGGGGGCTGGGAGGCGACCGCCTAGGGTGTGGGAGGACCTTGACCTCTCCTAGTCGTTCCCCTCCCCCCAGGAACTTAGCTGGGCGGTTTATCCTTAAAGACACTTTTACAACCCCCAAGCGGGGCTGCAGCCCGGGTCTGGCCCCCGCTCCTGAAGACTCCGAGTCTGAGTCTGCGGGAGGGCGGTGGGGTGGGAGAAGGGAGGGGTAGTGGAGGGAGCAGGGAGAGGGATCAGAGAGAGGGAGCCTGGCGCCCAGCGCTCCCTCGGGGCCAGCCCTGGGGAGGGGGAGCACGGGGACAGACTGGCCCCAGCTGGCTCCAGGGCCCTGGGGCGTGGGGGGAGGGGAGGGGGCCCGAGCGCAGAGGAAGAGCCCCTGCCGCTACCTCCCGGGCAGGCTGGGCGGAGGGTAAGGGGGGCTGGGAGGCCGGGCCCCGCCTTCCCCAGGCTGCCCGCTGAGGCTTGCCGCTTGGATTCGGGCCAGGCTAGGCTTTTGCAGAAAGGCCTGGAGCGGCCCCAGCTGTGATGGCTTCGCATTTTCTTTTTATAGAGCTTGGCTGCTTCCAGGGAAGCCGAACAGAAAAGCCTTCGCCTTCAGGCGGCTAATCTGCATCCGAGAAAACCCGCGCTCCCCGCGCCTCGCCCCCCACCCCACTCATACCCGAGCCCCAAACCCTGCAGCCCCCACGGTGAGGGTGGGATGCACAGAGCTTCCTTTCCCCCCGGGGCTGCGCGCAGTTTGGATAGGGGAAGGCGGCTTTTAGAACCCCGCCCCCCCATGCTCTGATCCTGCCCACCCCAACGCCGTAGGAGAGGGGGGAAATCTGCCTCTCTCCATCACTCCAAACGACCCAGGGAGTGAGCAGCACGGCACCGGGGCCTGGGGAGGGGGGGAGGCGGGGAGGTGATCTGCCCTTCCTAGCGGGGATTGCTGAGCCCCTCTCAAAGCCAGCACCTGGGGCCCAAGGCTATCCATCTGCTACTCGTGGCTTCCAGCAGCAACCTCTGACCCTCACCTTCCTTCTGTTTCCTTGGCTGAGCAAACCGTGGAGGCTCTGCCAGGCAGGCCAGCCCCCATTCCCCTTGGCCCCCTCCCCTTACCCCCCCCCCCAGCAAAAGGCGGAAGAGTGTGGGGAAAGAGGAGAAACGCAGAAGATGAAATACCCCCTAAGGCCCAGTTTGGCAGCAGTGGGGGAAGTGAGACAATCATCAATTTGCTGTGTGGTTGTTTTAATTGCCTCCTCCCCCCACGTCCAGCCCCCAGGACCTTGACATTTTTCTAAACAAAGTCTGTGTTAGGGGAAAGGGGCCTCTTGTTCTCTCCTGGACCCCTTCTAGCTCTTGCTAGAGACCTCAACAAGGGCTGGGATGGAGTTAAACTGAAGCCCTCCTATTTAGGTTAGGTTTCTGGTCAAGAAAAAATTTCCTTGTAGGGAGCGTTGGTCACCTTTGGGGTGAGAAAATTACCTCTCTGGGATAGTTTTAGGTAAGGTGTGTAGATGTGGTCAGAATGGAAAGGATAGACTAAATTAATCCTGGTCGCCATCCCTTCAATTCAGTGATACCAGCTCAGAGTAAGACAGGGAGAAGGAAATAATTAAACCCTCAATATTCCAGCTGTGTGCATACATTGCAAAGACTGTTTTTCCTCCTGTTTTTCTTTGAAGAGGACCAGTGACGTCATGGGGTGATGGCTTGGCTCTTGAGTGAACTGGATTAAAGTAAGGCAGAGTTGCACAAAGTAGAAAGCCTCCTTCTCTCTTCCAGAGTCATTGACGTCCAGTGGGGAGACAAAAGTCAGAATGACTACAATGGCCCCAGGGTGCAGTGGATGACCTTGGTGTATTTAATGCCTGACTAAGCTCTAAACACTCCACAGCACTTGCTTCAGCGCTGCTGTTAGTTGGAATAAATTGTTCTCATCAGCCCATTCTGTTGAGGGAAGTCTTCACATATTTAGATAATCAAACAAAACCTGTTAAGGACCTTAGCTTGAAAAGGCCAAGGATCACCAGTGCGTCCTGGGCCATCTCCAGTTGTCCTGATCTGTATCTGGCAACTGGACCCAGATGGCTGTGGAGGAGAGAGTGAGACTGGTGACTTTGCACAGCTGTCCCTCACTTAAATCCAATTCACTTGCAGGTCAGTGCATCATCTACCTTCCTGATGTCATGGCCCTCTTTGAGAATGAAGGACAAACAACAGGGTAGATACCCCTCTAACTCACCGAGTTTGAAGCCTGTTGATTACCCTCAAACTGATTGAGTCCATCTGCCGAGGTGGTTTTACCATGGTGTGGCGGCTTGGCATGTTACAGCTTCTTGGAGTCATAGGTGAGAGTTGAGTGGCAGGTGGACCACACCAAAGGTAAATGAGAGGCCTTGAAAAGGGCTCTGCAAGCCCTCTCACCAGAGGTGCTAGTCATCCCAGAATGCACCATACACCCCACATTGCAGAGGTGAAAACTATCTCGCTAAAAACCAAAGCCCCTCTGCCTCATGCCTCAGTGACCCTCTGGGTCCCTCTTGAGGAAGTTCAGTCCCACTCCACTCCCATCACTAGGTACAATTCAGACTGAGGCATGATTGAGACCTTGGGTCAGAGGTGTCAAACTTACCTGCAACAACCCAAACCAAATTAAAATGCAATCGGAAATAAAATTTTAACAAACTAGATAAAATACAATAGAATATAGATAATGTTAATTTGTGGTTTTCTAAGTCAATCTGCTGCCCACAGGGATGAGCAGTTTAGTGGCCCTTTCCCATTGGACTTTGAAGCTACTGGACTTGATTTCCTAAAAGCCCTGGAGACTTAAGGTTCTATGGGAACGGGGAGGTGGGGGGCCTAGGGTCTGTTGTCTTTCTCTCTACCTGCACAATCAACCCAAGCAGAACAAGAGGTTTCCATCCTGGTGCCTTGGAGAAAGCCCTGAATTTGAAGCCAAAAGACTTTGTCCCTGACACTTTGTTACCCGGTGTGAGTCATATGACCTCTGGGTCTCTAGCCCTTCTTTTGTAAAATGAAGGAGTTGGACCAGATGACTTCTAAGATCTGTCCCTTCTATCTCTTGGATGTTTTCCTGTAGTCCTTTTATTACGGCAGGATGTGTGTGCTGTAGGGACTTCTCAGATCCCCTGTTAGCCTGCAGCCCTGGCAATGTGGAGTAAATAAGGAACACCTGTTAGCCCTGAGCTGTTGTTTCCAGCAGGGAATTTCCCTACCCAGAAATTCATGACTTTAAGAACAAAAATTGGAAGAGACTGATTAAGAAGCACCGAGAAACAAAGGAGTTGGCAAGGAGACTCGCATCTGAGGAAGGGCTCTCCGGTTTCAGTGTCCGCAGGTGTAGTACAGCAATCCTTCATCTTCTCAATACCACTTTACCCTCCCCTCCCCCACCCCTCATCTTCATCGGAGCTCCCAGACCACGGGAACAGAATTTCAGACTTGGAAGGGACCTTAAAAGTCATGGAATCCAACCCTTCTGTTTTGCAGTCCAGAGAAGTGACATACCCAAGATCACACCACTCACATTTGGGACTAGAACTGAGTTAGCCCAGCTCTGAGCCCGGTGTTCCTAGAGCTACACCATGGTGACTCTCTCAGGGTTACCCAGCGGGCAAGGAAAGCACCCTTACACTTTCATCAAGAGGCAACATTTTGCAGAGCAAAGAGCAATGTTCTTCCTTCCCATCTTCCTGGGGCACAGCCACCCCAGCCCAGATGTCCCCAAGCTCACTGCACAGTACCAAGGATGTTCCATTTGCAAAAAGAATCAAACCAAACCATAGCAGCTTAGTGCCCATGACACTCTGGGCCCCATCCTCCGGCCAGCCCGATAACTTCTATATCCAAATAAAGGGCTCAGACCTAAAGGTCTGGAACCTTTCTCTCTGATAAATGGCTAAAACTTTAATCCTGCCGACCTTATTTCTTCATAGACCTCCATTGCATCAGGATCTCTTCCTTCTCCTTTCTCCCACCTCTCATTATGGCAATTGGCAATGTGCCTACTCCATCCCTCTCCAAAGCCCTAGTCCCCATCAGCATCTGCAGCATCTCTGGACACCTGAGAATCTCCTGAATATCACTTTTATAAATAATACTTTTTGCAGGGATGGGGAACCTTCGGCCTCGAGGCCACATGTGGCCTTCTAGGTCCTCAAGTATGGCCCTTTGACTGAATCTAAACTTCACAGAACAAATTGAGGCCAAAGGCTTCCCACCCCCACTTTATAGCTTCTAAAACCTCTTCTTTACCCTATGAAGTAGTAACGCAAGTATTATACATTCACAGAAATTCAAAGTAGGAAGGGAGCACATCTAGGCCCATTTGTACATAAGCAAATATCTCTTCCATGAAGTTTCTGATATTAGGCAGCTAGATGGTCCAATGGATAGAGCACCAGGCCTAGAGGCAGGAAGACCTGAGTTCCCCATCTGTTATGGGGATGATCATAGCAACTTGCCGGGTTGTTGTTTGGACCAAATGAGATAATGATTGTAAAGCACCTGGCATATTAGTAAGTGCAACATAAGCACTATTATCATCATCCCCATTTTACAGACAACAAACAGGCTCAGAGAATAAGTGATCTGCCCAGTCACATGGTTAGTCTTCTTACTCTACACGTAGTGTTCTTTTCACTGCAGCATGCTACTTCAAGAGCACAGGGTTTGAGGTGAGCTGGACCCCTTTCTTACCCCCCTCCCTCCCCTCCCTATGGAACTCAATGCAGAAATCAGGAGGGTTCATCACTGAGTTTTAATAATTTAAGAAACCACATGGCTTCCTGGTCCTATAGCACAACCAAGCCTAGAAGAGATGAGCAGCACCAGGAGGGCAACCCCCCTCTTCCCCCTCCTCCCCCTATCCAGGTCCTCCCATACCTTCAGGCCCCAGAGCACAGAGCAGGGCTTGGCACATTTCCACCTCCAGCTTGACCAACTATCTCAGACTCGCAGAAGGAGGTGTGGGCACGGAGCCTGAACGTTTTGGACACAAGGCAGCCAGGCTTGTGCCCCTGGGGACAAAGCAGGTTGTCTGGGCTGGCATCAGCATCCGGGAGGAGAACATGCAAAACTAGGCCAGGGGCTGCCAATTTTTACTGTTGGTTTTTTTCCCTCCCCTTCTTAGACTTTTCTGGGGCTGATAGGCAGGGCCCAGGGATGTGGCCCCCCGATTATCTGGCTACTCTAGTAGCTCTAGAGGCTCTGGTCAAAGGGAACCCTTATTTCTGGGCAAAGACCCCCCCCCCCAGATGCTGAAAAAGAAGGTCTCCCTGGGGAAGGTCAGTAAAGAAAAGGCAAAGGGGCTTCTTTAGTGTGGAAGAGCCTCTTTGGCCACTGTCTACTCAAGGCCCAAGACCTCATATATTTAGAAAAGAAGGGATCTTGGCAGTCATTAGACCCAACCCTCCCATTTTACAGATGAGGAAACTGAGGCTCAGAGTGGGGGAAGCCAGTCTCCATCAGGCTAATCACTTCTTAATGCCAACTTCCCAGATCACCTATTGAAGAAGCCAAAGCTCACCACTCACCCTTTCCAACTAGGACAAAGCCCTCAGCTACAGACACCCCCTGACCATCTCAGCCAGGGGAAAGACACCCATGGGGGCTTTTCCCAAATTTCCCTAAGTTCTTACCCTCCCTCCCTGAATGACAGCATCTGGCCCAGAACATCTCCAACAGTCTGTGGAGTTAGATTCCATGTTTTATGAAGCCTGGCCAAGAGAGGGGCTTTTTTCCTTCCTTATCAGTGAGCCCTTGGGAGGTTCAGGACAGCTGAGGTGGAGACCCGAAGGCCAGCATCAGTTCTGGGTTACCGCCGGAGGCCCCTTTGCTTCAGCACACGAATGGAGAGGCTCTCTGACCGGGACAGAAGCTCGTTGACCAGGGCCAGGCCCAATCCTGTGACCTTGGCTCCATCCACCTCCAGGATCTCATCTCCCACTCCCAGCAGCCCTGAGTACAACTTGGCTGTGTTGGCATCTGCAATTTCCTGAACATAGAACCCTGGGAAGAAAAATAGGGAACTTAGCACATTCCTGGAAAGAAAATCAACACACATTTATGGAGCACCTACTGAAAGCAAGGTTCTTTTCTTTCTCTTTCTTTCTTTTTCTCTTTCTTTCTTTCTTTCTTTCTTCTTTCTTTCTTTCTTTCTTTCTTTCTTTCTCTTGCTTCCTTCCTTCCTTTCTTCTTTCCCTTATTCTCTACACTCACTCAACTTGTCTATAGAGGTGGAATAGGTGATCACCTATATGAGTATGATTTCAGAGGGCTACTAAGGTCTCAGTAACCTCCACCCTAATCCTTATAGCATAGAATGCTGAAGTAAAAAGTTGTTGGGAAATGTTAATGAGAACATAGGGGTACACCCTGAGATAGTGGATTGAGGCAGGAATAGGGCATAGATGAGGGCAGTAGTATCTCAAGACAGAAGTGCCCTTATAAGCCATCCAGTCTAATTCCCTCATTTTACAGATAAGGAAACTGAGGCCCAGAGAGGTGAGTGAATTTTTCCAAAGTCACACAGGGACTGAAAATAGCCAGGTCAGAATTTAGACCCAGGTCCACTAATGCTAAATTCAGCACTCTTCTGCCTGTTTCGCAACCTTGCCTAGAGCGAGCAAATCAAATCAGCAAGCATTTATTAAGCATCTACTATGTGCTGGGCACTGTACTGAGTGCTGGGGATACCACACAATGCCAAAAAAAAAACAATGACCCTAAACTTTCTAGGCACTTCTAAGTGCTGTCTACTTGGGGACCAAGAATGTTCACTAAAGATTCAGTACAAACAAATCTCCCAATCTCACACCCTCACGTACATTTTAAAAGCTCTCTGCCATCTCTTCACCCCAAGCCAATATCCACCTATAACTATCCTGAAGTCCTCAGCAAAGTGAGCACATCCTTGTCATGATCCTGAGCCTACATTCCCAACATCTAAAAAATGATATTAATAATAACTAACATTTATAGGTTTGCTTTTCTTTTTTTTGTTAGGCAATGGGGTTAAGTGATTTGCCCAGGGTCACACAGCTAGCAAGTGTTATGTGTCTGAGGCCAGATTTGAATTCGGGTCCTGCTGAATCCAGGGCAGGTGCTCTATCCACTATGCCACCTAGCTGCCCCTGCTTTAAGGTTTTCAAAAAGGCTTCACAAATATTATCTCATTTGATCCTCACAACAACCCTTCAAAGTAGGTGCTATTATTATCCCCATTTTTACAGGTGAGGAAACTGAGGCTGAGAGGGGTTAAGTGACTTGCCCAAGATCTCACAGCTACAAAGTGTCTGAGGCAGGATTCAAACTCAGATCCTAACTCCAAGTGGCAACTTCTGTGGCTCTAGAAGGGGATACCTTATTCAAAAGGAACCATATAGTCAAAAGGAAGGAAAAACAGCATCACTGATTAGGAAGCTATACTCTCAAGAAGAAATCCAGGACCATGCCCAAAGGACTATTAAAATGTGCATACCCTTTGACCCAGCAATAGCACTTCTACGGCTGTATCCCAAAGAGATCACAAAAATGGGAAAAGGACCCACATGTACAAAAATATTCATTGCAGCTTTTTTTGTTGTGTCAAAGAATTGGAAATTGAGAGGATGCCCATCAATTGGGGAATGGCTGAACAAGTTGTGGTGTATGAACGGAATGGAATACTATTGTGCTATAAGAAATGATGAGCAAGCAGATTTCAGAAAAACCTGGAAAGACTTGTATGGACTTATGCTGAGTGAAGTGAGCAGAACCAGGAGAAGGCTGTACACAGCAACAGCCATTCTGTTCGATGACTAAAGTTGATAGACTTAGCCCTTCTCAGCAACGCAAGGATCTAAAACATCTCTAAAAGTCTCATGGTGGAAAATGCTATCCACTTCCAGAGAAAGAACTATGGAATTTGAATGCAGACCAAAGCATACTATTTGCTCTTTTTATTTCTTCTGTTTTGTTTTGTTTCCTCTTTCTTGTAGTTCCTCCTATTGGTTCTATTTCTTCCTTACTAATTTCTTCCTCACTAATGTGAAAATATGTTTAATAGGAATGTATATGTAGAGCCTATATCAGATTGCATGCCATCTTAGGGAGGGGGAGAAAAATTTAAAACTCAAAAGTGTATGGAAGTGATTGTTGAAAAGTAAAAATAAATTTTTAAAAATGGAAAAAAAAATTTATAAAAAAAAAAGTGGGGTAAAGAAGAAATCCAGGAACCAGAGGATGAAAGCACTGTGGAGATATTTTCATGTCGAGCAGCAACAGCAGTAAAAACAGAAATGAGATCATCATTGGAGTATATGCTGCAGCCAACCAGGAAAGAAAGAAAATAGATGAAGAGTTTGGAAAACAGATAACGGCAATGGCCCTGGCCCTGGCCCTGGTGTAGACACCTGATAGAGTAGCAATAAAGAACTTCAATTACCCAAACATCTGCTGGAACTCATTCTCTGCACCAAGGAAGGAAGCTTAAAAGTTCTTGGCTTGTGCTAGGAGAACCAAGAGGAACTGATCTTCTGGATTTGACTGTAATGGATCCAGAAAGAACTGATAGCTGGGCTGGAAATGATAGGAACTATAGGGGTGGGGCAGGGAGGGAAGTGACTGATTTGTTTTAAAATCTGCTGTACAAGAGAGGAAAGCCAGATCTGGGGGAGCAGATTTCAAAGGGTTCAAAGGAAGTCTAAGTAGGATCTCATGCATTAAAATTCTATTGGCCTGGGGCGGGGGGTGGAAAGTTTTCCAGAATAAGATTCTTGATAAGTCAGGAAAAGAAATAATATTGACAAAGAGGAAAAAAGAACAATATGGGCATCATGGGAAATTTCGATTTATGAAGACAGATACAGGAAGGAAGGCAGGTAAGAGAGAATGGGAAGGTGTGGCACAGTTCACTAATAATGGTCCAGGATTTCTAAGGCTCAGGCTCATAGCTGTATCTCATAAGAGAAGCTTAGGACAACAAAAACCCTGTAGTTATATTGTGGAAAAGAAGAGCTAGCATTGATGCTGAGGGTTAGAATGATGAAGAGATGGCAGAGCTCCTCAAATGTTATTTTTCTTATTTTCTCTACCAAGGAGGAAAGATCTTTGAACTGGAAAGGGGAGAATAAAAATGACTAATGGGGATTAGATAGCCAAGAAAAACGGGGAGATGGCAAGAGGGTGCCCAGCTGGCCTTGATGACTTACGGCCCAGATGAACTATGTGTGCCCCCAGGGTATGGAAGGAACTGGCAGGTGTGATTTGCTGAGACATTGTTGGGGATCTCTGAAAGACTGTGGGGAAGGGAAGAAATACCACAGGTCTAGAGACAGGCAAGAGTATCTCACTTTACAGAGAGAAACAGAGAGAGACACAGAGAGAGAGAGAGAGAGAGAGATTGGGAGGGAGGGAGGGAAAGGGAGAAGAAGAAGGGAAAGAAGGAGAAAGAAGAGGAGGGGGAAAGGAAGGAGGGAGAACAGGGGTAGAGTCTGGTAGCTATGAACTAGCAACCTAACTTCAATTCTTCAATTTCTGGCAAAATTCTGGAGTATGTTATTAGAGGAACATGTAGTGAAAAGTTTTTGGTAAACCAACATAATTTCCTTTTTTTTATGGTTACTAGACTGGTAGCTCCGAAGAATTCTGTAACTATAGTTTAACCTAGAATTTAGCAAAGTATTTGACAAAGTCTGACATGGTATTATTGTAGGAGGGAAATGGGCTTTATATCGAAGGAGGATTAGTTGGAACTGAAACTGAAACTGGCTGGTTGGCTGGAACCAAAGAGCGCTCATTAATGGTTGGAAGGAAGGCTCTAGAGTGGATTGCTCCAGGTACCCTGTGTTTGGCCCTGTGCAGTTTAACTGTGTTCATTAGTTACTTGGGTGAAGGCATAGATGGAACACATCAAATTTACTCATTTGTAGCTAGGAGGGAAGTTAACATGTTGGATGATACCAAACAGGATACCAAAAGATCTCAACGGGCTATGGAATATTAGATCAAACTGAAAACAGTGATATGTAATAGGGGTAAATGTAAAGTCATAGACTAGGGTTCAAAAAATCAACATGTACAAGATCACACATACGAAACATGTACAAAAATCACACGTACAAGAATAGGGAATAATGACCACTTTAAGTCCATCTGAACTAGATGGGTGAGAGTTAGTACTTTGGAAACCTTAAGTTGTCATATAAATGTAAGTTATTTTTATTATTGTTATTAACAACAACATATGCAATATATATGGTATATATACAATATATATGGTTCTTAGTGACTTCAATACAAAAGTAGGAATAGAGGTGAGAACACAAAAATATGTGGTTCAAGATTAAGATATAGAAGAAGCTATAAGGCAAGAATTATAGACTGCCTGGAAGTTGAATATGTCATAAATACTTTCCTCAAGGAGAGAGTCAGAAGAAAGGGAGGGAAGAGGATATTAATTAAGCACCCACTATGTGCCAGGCACTGTGATAAGGGCTCAACAAATATCTTGCTTGATCCTGACAACAACCCTATGGGGTAGGTGATATTATTATCACCATTTTACAGTTGAGGAAACTGAGGCAGATAAAGGTTAAATGACTTGCTCAGTGTCACACAGCTAGGAAATACGGAGTCTGGGTTTGAACTCAGGTCTTCCTGACTTCAGGACCAGTGCTTTATCCACTGGACCACCTAACTGCCTTTCAGAATGCAGTAGATATGTTATGTGATAGGAGCAATATCTACCAGGGTTCTCCTTACCCCACCATGAGCTAGGAAGAGGACAAAGTCAGGACTTGATTGGTCTCAGGGGTTGCGCCAAAGCTCAAGCTGGGCATCTCTTGACAAAGCTTTCTAATGGTTTCCAGTTGGGTTGATTCGGCTTCCTGGTCACCTAGGGGCACTAAAGTCTCATTCATGTGGTGATCCCACCCTGAGGCTGTGGCCTCTCCAACCTGGAAACAGCCAAAAAACCAATACTCTGCCCTCCTGACCAGATTAATTTCCATATGGAAATGTAGGGTCAT